TATTTATATATATATATATATATATATATATAAATACAGGCTTAAAGAAACTTAAACCATAACAAAAAATAATCATTGAAACTTTCAAGATTTACTACATTTTAATGACCATCAGTTAATCAAAGATCACAACTGAACAAATTCTTTCCCACTATACTGTACAGATATATTATAAACATGCCTGATAATCTTCAAGCATTCCTGCTATATCATTGTGTCCTTCCTGGTTAGCCAGCTGAGCTGGAGAGAAGCCATTAACATTCTGAAGTTTACATGCCTGTGCTGCCCCAGAACACTGAAGCAACTGTGATGTCAGTTCTCTTAAACCATACCTGGCAGCAAAGTGAAGTAATGTGGGAAGTTCTTCTTCACCTAGAAGAAATCGTACATCAGGGTTTATGTAAAGTTTTCTTCACCAAGTTATAAATATTTGCAATTAGTATTAGTAGGATGCTATTTTAACCTGATTGGAAAATTTTTAAGTACTGTTAATGGGCAGCTCTTCTTCCACTGGTAATAAAGCATTCTCCTCCAACTATTCAAATAGATTTAAGGTCAGTGTTAGTCAAAGTGTGAAGTTTTTATAACCACATTGAGGAGATTTTAGGATAGTTTTAGTGAGAAGTAATAATAGCTAAGATGTGAAAATGTTTGGTTGGTATTAATGGTAAGTTACTGTAACCAAGATGAAGACAGTTTAATGAGGGGGAAATTTCTACAGCCAAGTTGACTTTAGCTAAGAATTTATAACAGGAAGTTTTTGTGTCAAAGTCAAAAAGAATTAATGCTCATCAGTATTAATGGAAAGTTTATGACTAGTCCAGAATAAGTGATATTCGTTTTTCTGGGAAGTTTGTTTTGTGAAAATAAGATGAAATCTTCTTTACTTAAAAAGGATAAAAATATATTAGATTAAGACTATTTAACAGAAAGGACCAATTCACAGAATTTAAAAACTGTGAATAATGAGGTAATTTTGAGCAAAGAACAAATTGATATGACCTAGTATGGGTTAGCAATTTGCCTTTTTTTGTCAGTCTAATAATTTGATTTTGTGTAGATTTCAAACAAAAATATATAAAGTCAACAAAATCATGTAGAAATTTATTTTGCTTATTAAACTGTGCTAAAGGTTATTTTACATTTCAGTTAATAAAAGCTAAAAATAAAAATTAGTATGCAGTTTTATTTCTCCTTTTTGGGGGAGGGAGATTTCTGTCTTGGATAAAACAGGTCACCAAAGATTATGATTGTTTTTAGAAAGAGTCAGATAACTAAGAATTCTAGCTATTATTTTTGCCATAATGTTTTGTTTTGGTGAAACTGAGCACATTGTTGTGAAAAATAATGTTCATGAGAGGCATGATGGCAAGTGTCCTTCTGGAGTCAATGAAAATTATATAGGTTCAGGTGTTGGAAAGTAAGGAACAGAGTCTATAAACATTTAACTACTCTTATGTTTGAGTTTATATCCAATTCTAGCAAATTAACAAGCAATAGTTGTTAAAATTCACTACTTCTTGTTTGAATTGATATCCAAGCTAACAAATAATTAATGTTAAAATTATGCTTACTCTTCTGGTTTAAATTGATATCCAGGTCCAGCAATTTAAATCCATTTGAGGGAAGGTTTCTTTGGAAGTTTTTTACAAGTAAATTGTCCACCTCACTACAGGATGCGACTCCCATAGTTTGTCGCAGCATTTCATAAGGTGAATTAACACTCTGTAGTAATGTAAAGAGTTCTCCCATTTTGGATTCACACTTCAAAGCACGGACACCCAAGAAAAAATCATCACATTTTACATGAACATTTAGCAGCTTACATACTTGCATACAGCCGTCTGAAAAGAAAGTTTACATAAACACATATATATATATATATACATTTGCAGCAATGTTATATGAACACTGTTATTGTTTCTTAAATTAGAATTATTGAAAAATACTCTCCAAAACATTACTCATAATTATCTACAGTAGCCAACAAAAAATATGAAGCCACCAATATTAAAACAGAGATAGAAATGATAAAAGAAACTGGTTCCAATGTTATTGCAAAGAACAACCATAGAAATTTATTTTAAAAAACAGTTGTCACCAATCTTGGCATATAAATATAGATTAAAAATTCAAAACCAACCACCAGCATTATTAACATAGGTATACAAAAATGGATATATCTATTATACAAAGAAAACAGTATAAAGTAGTCTATGAGTTGCCCTTGTCCAAGGTTACTATTTTGGGTGGAATTCCCAGAAATTAGCCTGACTCAGTGGCAAGCAACAAATCCATGAACAGAATGTACTTCATATTTCTTTGTCACCAATATTTGCAATTTTGGTGTTGAGGTGAAAACAATAATTTATCTTATATAACTTGTACACTGAATAACTCAGAATAATAGATCAGTGGCATTAATGTGCTACATATTTTTGTTTTCAAAATATTGCTATAAATATAGGATATTTGTGGTGAGTGTAGGACAACTAAAACACTTCATACGGAGATTACAGATCTGCCCTTGTTCTTCAATGAGAAATGAAATTCACATAAACATGTTTATGTGACAAGTTTATGTTTATGTTTCAGTAACAAGTGGTAAAACCAAGAAAATACTGGGTCTCATGTTTCTTTCTCACCAAAATTCTCATTTCTGGTGTTCAGGGAAAACAAACACTAATAGTCACCAACATCCTTTCATGCAGAGAGACAAGTAGTTATAAAAACATCACTAAAAAAGTTTCATATTCTCTACTTTCTTACTCAAACAGGCATGACTATTGTCACTATCCAGGAGCTTACCATCCTTTCTGAGAAAACTATGTATTTTAAATTCCAAGACAATCAATTATGAGTGAACTGACAACCCAGGTATTGGCTCATCAGTCACCAATCCAGGATAACTTTACATGGAAATATTCGATGATAAGTTCTTTAAGGGATACATAGATGGCACTCTTATCTCCTAGTTCCCATGAAGAACTTGTTCCCACCCTTTACTTGTTCACTAAACTTCTTTGACAACATCAAGTTTATCCTGTAAATGGAGAAAGAAACTCTTCTTTTCTTGAATATCTTAATCAACGGATAAAAAATTATCCAAACAAAGAGAAATATCTTAACTTCTACTTCTGCCATCAAATATGGAACTTTACAATGCACTGAGTCAAGGAAAAACCTGAAAATATCTCTGTCACTGATGACCAAACACCTGAACACCAACACAGCCCAGAACCCCCTCAAGTTAAATGATATTCAATTAGTTTTACCTTCAACTTTTATCATATACATAGAATCAATCTATTAATGTATGGCCAACAAGTTCAATGTGGAAGTCTTCCAGAACCATGAAGTCCATTCTAGAATATCATTTAAAAGATTCAGTGTTCATGCATCCAGATATATATACACAGAAGGAAATGGGTAAACATTCTGGAGCAAGCAAGACCCAGAAAAACAAACAGACTTTTATAGGCACAAAATTCGGTCACTAATCAACATGCCTTTTTAACTGGACATTCAATCAATTGAAACATTACAAAATCAAAGTCAAAAAAGTAAAAATTACTTATACCACAAACAAATGGTAAATGATGAACAAATGTTTTCTAACAATCACAGTGTTTTGGGCTGGGACGCCCTTCTGGTAATTTTAAATGTTTATTAATGACTACACATCATTTGAACTGATCCCATAACCCTCTTACAAGAACGTTTCTACCATTTATAGTTTTCTTCCATATTATACAAACTATCCATACAACCACAGACCTGAAGATGGGTAGCAGAAATCACTCAAACTTTACCACCTATGCTATTTCTTCATTGTTTTGAAAATTCAACTGAGCATTTCTTTCAGATCTACAGATTCTGTATAAGACACACACACATATATATATATATATATACACACATATATGTATATATCAGAAGAACACATTCTGTTTGCTGCTTATTCTAAACTGTTTTCATGAATTCACAGTCTAAGCCTTCCATCAAAAAAGAAATTGGTAGTTCAGAAAAAGGGTACTGTGTAAGAAACTGTAAGATATGTTTTAACTACTTTACAAAGAACTCCAAACAGAAACTATAATCTGCAAAGATGTGTTTTATCTAACTTACCAGAAACTACAAAACTGTAAAATATGTTTGATAAAAGGAACTATAAACTGTAAGATATATTTAACTAGTTTACTAAGAACTACAAACTGTAAAGTATAACATAACAGTCTTACCAGGAACTACAAACTGTAAGGTGTATGGGTTCCTTCTTTTCACTGGCATCTCCTTAACTCCATTACCTTCTAGTATTATCTGAACTTTCTGATCATCCCTAATAGCTCTGTCTAAGATCACGAACACTTTCCCATTACCCTACAGAATTTTAAAACATGCATTATCTTAATTTAGTAAAATACTTCAGACATATCTAACTAAAATTTAAACAAATTCTTGACTTGTTTTTCATTATTTGAAAGACTATTAAAAAGAACTGTTTCCGAGATTATGTTTGTATCCACTTATCAAATGTTTAACAGTTTTTCTTATAATTCACTGACCATAAATTATAATTTAGTGAAAAAATCTCAACCTACATCTTTGTAAACTCTTACAAGTTAGTGTTTAAATACAAGTTTTCTACTGGCTGGTCTTTAAGTATAATGTTTTGTATGTACTAATTTTTGTCTATTTTTACCACTCAGGACTACACTAACTGAGAAATACTCATTCAAAAAAGAAAGCAATAAATACTTTATAAAAACAATTATGAACAAAGATTTTCTGAATATATATTCCCCTCCCCCAGACATGATTCTTCATGGAAATAGTTTCCAATCAAACAAAGAAGCAGAACATCCTCCCCAGTTTATAACAGTGTTCCTATTAAAATGGACAAAAAAAGAATGAGTTAGTGTGAAAATTTTCATTTTACAAGAATGTGGCAAAATGAAGGCTAAAGCAAAACACAGCAACTTTATTTTATATTTTCAGTTTGTAAGATATTATCATTTCACGTGCATTCTAGTGTACATACCATGCAAGTGAAGTTCCTATTTTTATTAATAAAAAAAACGTTGTTATATTTCATCTGCAATATATATGTATTTTTCCAATTTTAGTCTGACTTGTTGATCTACTAACCATCAAGGCCAAATTTCTTTTAATGTGTAGCTCTCCTCCCATCCATCCTGGTTTTGTAAAGGTAAAACTTGAACATAATTTAGATTATGTTTGTTTTGGTTGTTGTTAAGCACAAAGCTACACAATGTTCTATTTGTGCTCTGCCCAACAGAAGTATCAAAACCCAATTTTTAGCATCATAAGCCTGTAGGTAATAAGGTAAATGCCAATGGGCTATTTTTTTCACAATCAACAGCCATTAAAAACACTTACTCTCATTGGCATTTTAAATATATGTTTCACACCTCTACCAAACCCTCATTCATGTGCTAGTCACCTAAATAAAAAAAATAACTTTCAGATCCACTAGACTATCAGCAGTGCTTCCTCAAATAAGAATGTCAAAAAGAATACAAATTATCAGGCTTCGTTTGTTTGTATGTTATTCAACAAAAAGCAACACAATTTATCTGTGCTCTGCGAACTGCAGGAATGACACTCATGTTTGTGTTATAAGTTGTGAGAGGGTTGGGACTACCACATTTCGAATATATATGGAAATGGAATACAAATGAGTAATCTCCATAAGATCACTTGCAAATACCAAATAATTAACCGTATCTTCAGAAGGTTGCACAGTTGAAAAATGGGAAGGCAGACAAAATCAGCGAGAAATCACTATATCACTTGCAGAAGTTGCAGTACTGCTATATAGAGAAAAACAAATTTGTGCACAGCCTTGGCGCCACATAAACAGAACAGAATTCGTGCTGCGAGTAGTAGTGTGGAGAATGGTCTATGTTAAAGTGCCGTAAATATTTCAGGACAGGTGCACGAGTGTCTCAATAACGTCACAACTTATCTTCATAGCACAGGCTATAAATACGACAAATGGCCGAGTAATAAGACGAAAGCCGCTTCTCATTCCAGCAGAAAGTACGTCGGAAACAGTGGGTATTAGAGATATTATCACACCCACCTGTCTTTTACTTTTAGGACATGTTAATTTTATCCAGATTTGCACAATTCTGTGACAACAGAACCACCTGGACTTGGCAAGTATCATTTTTCAGGAACCTTCATTGAACCATCTGTAAGCCACGACAAAACACGGCGGTAATTTCTGTGCTGCTGGTATGCGAAGAGTCGGTCACTACTGTTCAATACATTACAATTTTTGAGCAACGACCAGCAGCTAGCTTATCAGAAAAGGCAGTGTTTTCATGCAAGATAAGGATTCCGTTCATTCATCCCAAGTTACAAAATAACTGCTTGAAGGACAAAACATTATCATATTCCTTTAGTCATTCCAATCGCAGAATATGAACTCTATAGAGCAGTGATTCTGAACGTGGGGCGCACACACCACAGGGGGGTAATTTGAATAGATTTGAAAATGCTACAATAAGAAATATTTTTAATTTGGGTGTGAAGAGCGAAAAACGTTCCGTGACTCAAAACTAAATTTCTAAATTTTCAAAATGTCTAAATTAAATTATTAAAAACATAGCCTGCACCAGTAGCCAAACATAACATAAGAACATGTGTTCTACCAGGATGATCTACACACATCAGGAACCGAGGTCTAAATCAATTTGTGGTTCCGGTATTGTGAAGCGCTGTCTGGTTATGATAAGTATATTTCCGTTAGCTAGGAAGGACAAAGAAAATATGATAGGCACTCGAGTATATTTATTTACGTCATTTTCCCGCTTTCCTAGTCCTGCTTAACATTGTATATATTTCAGCTGTAGTTAATGGTTTCTATCATTTTGACAGTCTGTATATTTGAAAAAGCTCTGCTGATTATAAGTAGATCTAAAAATCAAAATTATTTTATTTAGTTAGTTGTTTGGCATGTGAACGATTTTGCACAGCTTTAAATGAACGATATAGACGATTATTTTCATCAGTATTCTATAAAAAAAATTAATTTGTCACTAATGTGTACTCGCGGTGTAAATTTAAAAAAATCAACTTAACATTTTTTATACGGGAGATGAATACGTACCTCACAGTCTATAGATAAGTAAAGATACATCCACTCCAGAAAAAATGCCTTTATAAGTATTAACTAAACAAACTTGAATGAGGATGTCTTTAGAAGTTGGTTGTTTATAACACTTTCGCAGTGAACGATCAAGGATGGATCGCAGATGCTCTCTAGCAGTGGTTCTTAACATTTTTTGCTCCATGCCCCACCTCGACATCTCAAAAACTTTGATGTCCCTTTAATATACAAACACATTTGGTGTTGAAAAGGTATAATAATATAATGTGTTGTACACGCCTAAATCTTTTGAATACTATGTGATGCCTGAATCTGAAGGAACCGGCTCTTCTGTGCAAAATGAAAGCTCGTGGGGCTGTGTTTAGATAACCAAGTTCCTAAAGAAATTATTAGTAGTGTTATATCAATTTCTATGGTTAGACGGGTTATTCTTTATTATTCTGTAAAAAAGGACTGTTCACTTAACGAAAAGGTTTATTTGTTTGTATTTAAGCATAAAGGTGTACAGTGGGCTGTCTGTGCTGTGTCCACCACGGATATCGAAACCTGATTTTTATTGTTATAAGTCCACAGACTTACTGCCGAGCCATTGGGGAAGGGGGTCAAACGAAAAGAAAAGTGGTTTATTTCTGCAACGGAAAGTTTTACAACATAAATTACCTCGTTAACTCGGTAGTCGATTCATAACACTGTAACAGTCTCAGTAATTAACTCACAAATTAACTGGCTCTCTGTCTGATTAATTCGTCAACAACAACTGTCTGGTGTTTTTACATAATATAAGTTTTCTTCAAGTCTCTAGAAAATTCGAGTTGTCACGTGCATGTCACATCAAATCTGAACACTAGGAAAATTTTCTATGCGTCACACATCATCATTACGTTATGCCAAAACTTCCTCTATAAACAGAATATTAACTTGTTATTGAACTGTAGTTAATAAATTTGTATATATTTGTAAATTTTACATTCTTAGCTACATAAATACACTTGTCGACAATCAAAATATGAAACTTTAATTTCTAAATAAAAGATTCTAAAAGTTCTAACTACATTATAATTAAACGTTAGGGCTTAATACATAATTACAGCTGCTTGTCGTTGTTCTTCATTTTTAATTTTAGAAAAGGAAATGTAATTAATCTTAATTATAACACAAAATTATAGCTTACTGTATGTACTCCTACCTCTGTGACATTGTGAGGTGACGCCTAAATTATTATAATTAGACGTTAGTACTAAAAACATAATTATAGCACACTTTTTGAGTTCTTACCTTTCTAATTACGTGAGATGACACCGTAATTCATCTTTAAGAATTAAAACCTTAACATTAAAAACAAAATTTTGGCGTGCTCTTTGTATTTCTACGTCTTAATTAATTCATTGCAAATAAAGGTTGGGAATAAAATCAAAATTATGACGTGTTGTGCAATCATACCTCTTTGATTTTGCGAGGTGACACCTTGAACTGTGCTTTTTGAAAAGCTCGACTTTCTTGAGCACGATTCAAAACGCCGAAGGTTGTTTCGATCACATTTTCTACACATTCTCTGTCTTGATCACGAGCAATCAAACGTGGCCATGCATCATACGATACAAGAGCTGCTTTATGGAAAGGTGAAATGTCGCCTTCGTCGATGCCACACAGCATGGCGACTGTTTGGTTAGGTCTCAACAATTTTCCTAATTCGAAAACTTCAGCATGACCGTCAATGAACTCCAAAGATGCAGGTGACATAATGATAAGCACTGCTTTGGCAGAAGTAAAACTCTGTGCACAAACAGATGGAAGAGGAAATACCAAGGTTTCTAAACGTTCGTGGTTAATGGAGATAGATTGAGGTCCACTACATGAAAGAAATGTTTGGGTTAAATATCGGTCCCACTCTTTAGCGTCTTCACAGAATAGAATAGTCAGATCTGGTGATGCCATGGACACGCGGCTGTTCGTGGCTGAAACAAAATGAAAAGCTGTGGTGAGAAAATCTTTTAAACAGTCGTAGAGGCAAAACATAAATTCACATATTTGTTTAAAAGTAAAATAAACAGATGCTTGATCTCAAACTAAACTAACATGTTACAATAACCAAATGGTTTAAATCTCCCGCATATTAAGTTCATCTGTAACAGGTCTTGAAATAGCTAAAAATACGATTATTTCAAGGGCACTTTGCAAAAGAACCACTTTTCTTTAAAGCTTCAAAATTTAGTACAAATAAAATCGTCATATACAGGACTGTATAAGTGTTAGGAAAACATAATATTTTGTCTATTCTTTCCTATTTTATGGGCTAATTCTTCCATATCATTACATAATGTAAATTTCAACACTATGGTAATGCTTCACTGATCCCTGTTGACAATTGAATG